TCTACATCTCTTGAATACGCCTTACATGGCACCAACCATTTTTACAAAAATAAAATTCTTAATCTTAAAACAAAAGAGACTTGCGGAATTAAGCTTAGAATCTCAAACATGTGGTAGTTTTCTAATGTGCTTATTAGTAGGCCTCGTGTGGGTAAGATTGTAGTGCGCTTCCATGGGCATGAAACTCTGATTATGAGGGATCAAAACTACTCACTCCGTTTTTTATTTTTTATAGGTTAGAGATGAGATTACGTGGAGTTTTAGGGAGTTCAATAAAATATTTACCTTCGTTTTTTTAGTTGACATATATTCCTTTTTAGGAAGTATTTTTTTATTTGACACATTTCCTTTTTGGGTAAGTTTTATACCTTGCATTTACTAGCTACCCACCCCACTTGCTTTATCATTCTCTCTCACTCTCTCTCCTCTCCTTAGTATGTGTGCCTAAATTGAATGCGTCAATTAAATAAAAATGGAGGAAGTAAGATGTTAGTGGGGTAGATAAGGTTATTATTTTATTGAAAAGTAAAGTGGTGGTGAAAGGAAGTGGGAACCATTGAAGGTAAACCTAGGCACAGGCCGGGGTGGCTTGTGTGCCGCCCGGCACGGCCCGGTCTTCAGTTGAGCACGACACAGCCCGACATCCGGCCCGGCACGGCACGGCACGACTGTCGAATTTCGTGCCACGGACAGCGTTCTGGGTTTTCAGGCACGGCCCGGCACAAGCACGCCCAGGGCCCGGCGTGCTAGCCCGCCGTGCCGGCACGTGGCACGAACACTAGGCACGGCACGCGTACCCGGCCCGCAGGCACGGCCCGACACGGCCCGCGTGCCCACCCAGAATAACCGTAATATTACCGTTTTTTGCAACGGCTAATTGCATAATTGGCCAAAAAAACGGCTAGTTAACGGCTAGTTTTTGGCCAATTAGCTCCCCAAAAATTCTATAAATACCCACCTCCATTCACTTCCCAAATCACAAAATCACAATCTCTTCTTCTTATCTCTTAATCTCGTATATTCTCTAAATCTCGAATAATCCTTATTTTCTTAAATTCTCTAATTATTCTCTTAAATTCTCTTATTATTTTCCTAATATCGGAAAAAATTAAAAAGTTCATAATCATAATTAGTGGAGCGTTGAACCACGGTTGTAAGATCTAAACTAATCTTTAATTTATTATTGTTTTATTGTTATTATTAGAGTAATCTTGTTTAATTATTATTGCTGTTAATTGTTATTGTTGTTGTTATAATTGTTGTTATTAATTATTATTATTGTTACAATTATTGTTATTATTTATTATTGTTGTTATTGTTATTGTTATAATTGTTGTTATTAATTATTATTATTGTTATTTTTATTGTAAAATTGTTGTTATTAATTATTGTTATTGTTAATCAGTTTTTATTAAAAATCTAATTGTTAATTATGGCATCGAACAACCCATCATCTAGGGGGAAAGGCCGACTTGGCCGTAGTAGTAGTTCTAGGGAACCACCTAATACAACGAGCCCCCAAATTCCGAGTCCAACCAATGACCCCGGTTACTTCCCCCTGGGCTATGAGCCATTTAGGCACGATGGTAGTTCCGGTTTTCAACCCTATAATATGTCGGGATTTCCACCACCACCACCAAACCAATTTTCACCATCAAACCAATTTCAAAATCCACAACAATTCCCACAATTCGGTCAATTCCCACCTAATTATTTTGGTGATCAACAAAACTATTATTCTAGCCAAAGTAGCCAAGAAAGTACCCAAATTCCCTCCGGTTCTACCCCTTCTACTACTACTAACCAAAACACACATCATGAATGGTTAACCAAAAGTGAGATGCTACTTTTGAAAAACCGAAAGAGTGATGTATGGTGTTGTTTCCTCCTAAATAAACCCCAAACACATGCAAAATGTAAAACATGTAATAGTGTATTCTCGGCAGTATCCAAATCCGGGACGGGACACTTAAGTAGACACATGAAAGCTTGTGCACAACCAGCTAGTGATCCAACCCAGCCAAAAATTTCCAAGTTCCATCCATACGGCTTTACCTACAACTATGAGAGGGATAGGGATGAACTAGGAAAAATGATAGTACACGCTGAACAACCTTTTCTTTTCTCGGAAAGTGACCCATTTAACACTTACATTAACAAAGCACTACAACCCCAACATAAAAGAATCTCTAGGAAAATCGTTCGTTCCGCCGCCATGAAAAACTTCCTAGAGTACAAATTGCGGTTACAAGCCAAATTGAGGGACCTTAACTGTAGAGTGTCTTTGACAGTCGATACTTGGGATAGTGGTTATAAATATCACTATTTATGTGTGAATTGCCATTGGGTGGATGATCAATGGTTGTTACAAAAAAGAATAATACATTTCAAAATGCTTGAATACCCACACACCGACATTAAGTTTGCTCACCATTTAATGTAAGCAATAGACGAATACAACCTTTGAGATAAAATGATGTCTATGACTTTTGACAATGCAACCTCTATGACATCATTTTAACTTAACCGATGTAATATTAGACGGTGATGCTCTTCATACTAGATGTGTTTGCCATGTGCTTAACTTATGTGTACAGGATGGAGTTCGGGCAATTGGCCCATACTACAACAAAATCAGAGATGCTATTATGTCTATTATTAGCTCAAACATGAGGTACCAAGAATGGAAGAGTTTTCTAAGACAACAAAAGATAAGGGCAATAAAAATCAAAACCGATTGCCCAACTAGGTGGAATTCCACCTATGACATGTTAACCAAGGCAATTGAGTACAAGGGCCCGTTAACAATATTTTACAACCAAAAATTTCCACAAACTGCTTTATATATATGATGATGATTGGTATAAATGTGAAAGATATATGCAATTTTTATAGTTATTATATAACATGACGTATTGTTTTTATTCTGTTTACAATCCTTGTGCTCAAAACTTTCTTTCTAATGCATGTTTACTCGCCCAACTTTTCGCTGATCATCGCAACCAAAGTGATTTTGATCAGTATCGGAAACAAAGTGGCGTAAATATTATAGTGAAATTCCTTTGATTTATATTTTTTCTTCCATATTAGATCCTAGGCAAAAGTATGAAAACATTTATGTGAGTTGACATTTACTTTCAATGCATGCTTCTTGACGATGATGTAGAAAACTATAAGACTAATGTGAAGGATCAGTTTTTTGCTTTATATAGAGTCTATGAAGCCAAATATGGCACCGTTCCTTGCTCAGGGCCTTCCCAACCATCCAAAAACGTAAGTAAGAAGGCCAAACATTTATTTTCACAAGCTACTAATTTGATTTCAAGGTTTTCAGACGATTCATCAATCAGGAGAACGCAAAGCGACGTCTCGGAGTTGCAGATGCACCTGAGTTACGACTTCACCAAAGGCATGGACGACGATGAGATAAACAGCCTCGACCTCCTTGCATGGTGGAAACAATAAAGCGGGAAGCATCCAACTTTGGCGGCAATGGCACGAGACATTCTTGGTATCCAAGTCTCCTCTGTTGCCTCCGAACGAGCTTTAAGCGCATTCGGAAGGGTTTTGGACGATAGAAGAACAAGTCTAAAACCCGAAACACTAGAAATGTGCGTGTGTTTCAAAGATTGGTTGGATGCGGAAAATCGCTCACAAGACCGTTCTTACGAGGACAACGACAACGATGAAGGAACCTCCGCTTCCGACCGTTCGGGTTCGGCTAGTTTATAATCTATCCAACTAGCCGATGAAGCCGAAGCCGAAGCCGACGACGAAGACGAGCAAGAAGAAGAAGAAGAATAGACAATCATTATCAATATTATCATTTTCCAATTTTTGTTTAATACCATCATTGTACGATTTTTATCATTGTTATCATTGTACAATTTTCTCAACTCAAGTAATAATAATATGAAGTACGCATTATTCACATCCAAAGTCCATTTTACCTTTTTTCCCCGTTTTGTTATAATTTGTAAATTCATATTAAAAAAAATAAAATTATACCAATTACTAATACAAAATTATATTTAATAAATCATAAACATTAAATTTTAAAGTAATAGTATAAAGTAAATATATAAATATAAATATTGAATATACAAAATTATAAAACATAAATATTCAACTTAATTTATTTTATACCTTATAATTTTATAACTTATAAGTTATAATTATAATTTTATAACTTATAAGTTATAAATTTTTATAACTTAAAAATTATAATTATAATTTTATATTTTTATAAATTATATACATTATAATATAAGTTATAATTTTATAATTATAACTTATTAAAAAAAAAAAATCTGGAAACTGCCCAGCCCGCCAGGCCAACACGCAGGCCGGCACGTGGCAAGCAAGGCACGAGCCCGCCAGGCACGAGGGCCGTGCCAGGTCGTGGGCTGGCCTATGAAAATGGCCGGCACGTGGCAAGCAAGGCACGAGCCCGCCAGGCACGAGGGCCGTGCCAGGTCGTGGGCTGGCCTATGAAAATGGCCGGCACGACACGACACGAGATTTTGGGCACGGCGGCACGACACGCCGTTGACCGTGGCCCGCGGCGGCACGACACGACACGATGCCCACCTTTAATTGGAGGAGTGAGAAATGATAAACTAAAAAAGGGTGGGGATATTAGTGGGTAAAGATATATTATTAAATTGTAAGAGATTTCCAAAAATGGAACCCTAGCTTATAAAAAAACGAACGAAAATACTCTAACTTATAAAAAAAACGGAGGGAGTATAATTTTGCAATTGATAATAAAAAAAGAATGATTTCATATTTTTTACTCCATAGTGTTTTACTCCTATTAACACATGCCTCTATTACCTTTAACCCACAAAAAAAAAACCTCTACAAATCTTTAAATCAATCCTCAATCATAACCACACCAAATCAAATCCTAAACATTCACTATTTCCTACTCCATCATGAAAAAAATTAAAAAAATTCCATATAAATAGAATCCAAATCAAACTTAGATACATACCTTTAAAAAAACTTTCCTAATTTTAATTTTCTACATATACTACTATAAATTCACACCAAGACAAAATAAAAAAAAAATTGATAAAAAAAATAAAAATAAAATTAAAGTCATCATCAAGTGAAAAAAAGAAAGGGTTTTTGAAGTCCCTAAAATCAGCCTCACAGCCTCTCTTCTCTTCCTTTTTCCCCTGTCTCTCTCTCTCCTCCCCGTAGAGAGAGAAAATTCCCCCAAACCAAAACCCTTTTTCCTTCAAATTTCTTCAATTTTCTCTCTCCTCTTATCTATCTATCAATTCAATCTATTCTATTTATCCCCTTTTTTTGTTATCTTCATCAGATTCGTCGAATCTTCAATCCGCCGGAAAATCCCTTTTTCCGACGTTTTTCAATTCTTTGAAACCCTAATTTTCTTCGCCGTTTCGCGTTTCGTGTAGCTAGCTGAGTTATGCCGGCTGACCAGACCGTTATTAGCTTAAGACCTGGTGGTGGTGGAGGCAATCGAGGCCCTCGATTTCTCGGACCCCGATTTGATTCTTCTTCTTCATCGTCTTCATCTGCTGCTGCTGCTTCTTCTGATAATCAGCTTCTTCGTCCTCATGGCGGCGCTTCGCTTAAGGTCTTTTTTTTTTATTTAATTTTGATTTTTACTGTCTTAGATCTGTTGAATTTGATTGAATTTGCTGTTTTTTCGATCTGGGTTTTGTTTGTTTTGTGATTTTATTAAGTGGGTTGTGATTTTTTGGATCTGGGTATTGTTGTTTTTGATCTGGTGGTTTTTTTTTTTGTTGATAAAGTTTGGAACTTTTTGAATGGAGTTTTTTTTGTTGATGTTAATGCCATGATTTATTTGTTGTGTTACTAGTGTTTTTGTGTTTATTTAGTGGATTGAGCTATGTTGTTCGGGAGATATGGCGAACCGAATCGAACGTCCTGATTCTTAGCAGTGTGCTAAAGATGTGTTCACTGCTGTAAATATGGACGGAAAGTTATATGTAGGCTTTAGGTGAGCTATGAATGAGTGGTATCTCGCTCATAAAGAAACCTACAGATATTTGTCGTATTTGCACTCGTAAATGAACTAACAAGAAATTTATATAATTTTGTATGTTGAATTGGCGAAAAACTAATGTTACTCTGGTGTGTTATGCTCAGACTTGCTTTGCACGTGTGTCTTGCTGACCATGTGTGTTATGATGCTGCCCGCTTTAGAGATTTTATATCTTGCATTGGCAAGTCAGTGCTTATGAAATTATGTGATGATAGGTTGTAAAAAGAAGTGTTTTGTATTAGACTCTTATAATTAATCTATGTATTTCCCCCGTTGGTGTAGTTTGGAGATGCTCGATTTGAGGGTCGTGAACGAGTCCGCTACACTCGAGATCAGCTCTTGCAACTCAGAGAGGTATTATTCTGATTCCAATTTATGTTTCTGTTTGTATCCAAGTCAGGAATAGTAATAATTTATCTGATTTAATTTTGAGCTGTCTTGGCTGCTTATCTTTTCATTAATTTATGTGAGATAATCCCGGCTGATGGTTTACTGCAGAGAGTTCTGTTCATTCTTGTTAAATTAAGTTGTGTAAATCTAGACTGTGGCTAACCTTGTCATAATTTACATCATTCTTGTTGTATACTTATTCCTGTATTTAGATTAGTGAAGCTGCACTATTTTCTACGCTATAGTATTCATATGCCTTTATGGTCTATCTCTTGCTTATCAGGGTTGTATCTATTTTATTTTGTTTTGCTGGAATTGAGATTTTAGGGGTAGTCCTTTGTCTAGAGTTATTGGCAAATGTGATTTTCGTATCCTGTAATCTTATGTACGTGTATTGTCTATTTACAAAGGTGGCGGTGGTTCCTGAGGAAATCCTAATTGTGAAAAGAGAAGTCGATTCTGAGCTGCTTGGTGAAGAGCAGAGTTGGAATCGTGCTGAAGTCATTGTAAGTGTCATCTGTGCAATTTAATGTTTTGACTAATTTTATTAATAGTTTTTTTTTTTTTTTTTTTTGTTGCATTCAGTAACTTTGGTCTGAGCATGTTTGGTTAAATATGCGATTTCCCCCGTTTATGATATAGAATTTGGTTTTAATTGTAATTTGTTTCAATTTATCAGCCTCCAAGCCAACCAACACCCCGTTATTCTGAGCCTGATAACCGGGATTGGCGCACTCGCTCTACTCAGGTACCTGCCCCTGCAGAGGAGAGGTCATGGGAGACGATAAAAGACAGAGAATTTGTCAACAGGGGCCCAGATTTTAATCGCCAGGATCAATTTAACTCACAGTTTGCAAGGGCAAATATTTCCTCGGGCCAAGGGGTAATCTCATTAATTGTATTATTTTCTGATTCTGGTCTGACAATCAGCAATGATTTTTTTTAACCAATGTTATCATGCTCCCAGATTTTAGAAACTTCATCTTTTTTTAGTTTGCATCTTCTATCAACTTTTCTATGCAATTAATTATTATTATGGTTTGGGCTCTGTTCGGGTATGTATCTTATCCCGTGCAGAACTTTAGTTTTTAAGTAGCTGTTACTTTCTGTATCTTATCCCATGCAGAACTATAGTATTAAAGTAGCTTAGACTTTCTGTAACTTTACCCCATTTCGAACTTTAAATTAAAAGTAGCTGTTACGTTCTGTATCATACCCCATTCAGAACAACTTGACAATTTTATGTGCATGTCTTTTTTGCATGTCTTTTTTCCTGTTAGACTATATGAATCTATGCATTTGGAGCATTGCTAGTTTTTTCTGTAATGCCTGTGATTGCTGGATTACTTTACCAGTCTGAGATGATGATTATGTAGGTAAAATTTGTGGTTAGTGACATCAAGTCTGCTTAACTATATATATATATTTTTTTTTTTTTTTTTTTTTTTCAACTCAAATTTTTGTAATTGATTGGAAAAGTATGTAATTAGCCTTTTTGTTTTTTGAATTTCAAGTAGTGTTTTACCCATCCCCAGCTCTTTGCCTCTGTTATAGTTTATTGTTTTTTTAGGCTTACTTAAGGTTTTGTTTTACATGAATAGGGTCCAACTCCAGCTCTGATTAAGGCTGAGGTGCCATGGTCTGTTAGAAGAGGCACCCTCTCTGATAATGACCGTGTTTTGAAGACTGTGAAAGGGTAATGTGTCTTTTCCTCTTTTTGGGCCTTAATTGCAGCCTTCCTGGAAATTTAATTCTATATGTTCACTATCAAGTTACATAATTTTTGGTCTCTTGGTCTTTAGTCATGGTGACTGTATACTGTACTCTCTAGAAATAGCTGTTTATGGCTTTTTGAGCTTGAATTGCTGCAGTTGTGATACCTGTAAATTAAAGTAATTCATTAAAAATTTATTGATCTGAAGTTTTGGGTAGCAATATGGTATAGCAAAAATATTTTTTGAACCTGTAGTCTGTAAAAATGTTTAGCTGTTGCATATGCCATCCTTTGAATATATAGGTCAGTGAAACTGATATGATCACATAAGATCTATAATAATGTCTTATTGCTAATGTGTTCTGCTGCCATCAGCCCATATTAGTGTTAGAAATGTAAACATGTAGGATCGTGTCCGGTGTTTGTTCAAGATTCCTGTGTAATAATATTATATTGTTTACAATGCAGTATTCTCAACAAGCTCACACCTGAGAAGTATGATCTCCTCAAGGATCAACTAATCGACTCTGGTATCACATCAGCTGAGATCCTAAAGGTTATTGTCTTTCTCTGTGTTTCCTAAATTTGGTTATTAATCTTACTTTGCGACTGATTTTTGTTTGTCTTTCAGGGTGTTATTTCTTTGATATTTGACAAAGCTGTTCTGGAGCCTACATTCTGCCAAATGTATGCAAAGTTATGTTCTGATCTGAATGAAAAACTTCCTCCATTCCCAGCAGAGGAAGCTGGTGGAAAAGAAGTCACTTTCAAGCGTATTCTCTTGAACAATTGCCAAGAGGCATTTGAAGGTGCCGACAATTTAAGAGCTGAACTAAGGCTGATGACAAGCCCTGAACAAGAAGCTGAACGTCGAGATAAGGAAAAAATGGTTAAACTCCGTACTCTTGGAAACATACGTCTTATTGGTGAACTTTTGAAGCAGAAAATGGTACCTGAAAAGATTGTGCATCATATTGTACAGGTATTTGATATTTGCTGCTTGTCCATTCTTTTGTAAGACAAGTTCCTCGTGCGAGCTTTGCTCTGATGGTTGCTTTGTACACAATGTAGGAGCTTTTAGGTCCTGACAATAAAACATGTCCAGAAGAGGAAAATGTTGAGGCCATATGCCACTTTTTCAATACCATTGGTAAGCAGCTTGATGAAAACCCCAAGTCACGGCGTATTAATGATGTTTATATGGCTCGGTTGAAGGAGCTGAGCACGAACAGCCAACTTGTCCCTCGTTTGCGTTTCATGGCCCGTGATGTTCTAGATATGCGATCTAACAATTGGGTTCCTAGGCGTGAAGAGGTTTGATTGCTGTCTTTAACTTAACTTTAAGCAATTTCGTCATTGGCTCTCGATATATATTGGTCATAATCTTCTTTTCTTGCTCATGGTTCTTTAGGTCAAAGCCAAAACCATTACTGAAATCCATACCGAGGCAGAGAAAAACCTTGGCTTGCGCCCTGGTGCTACTGCAGGCATGCGGAATGCGCGTGGTATACTTCCTTCTCAAGGAAACATTGGTCCAGGAGGATTCCCTGTTAATCGCCCTGGCACTGGGGGTATGATGCCTGGGATGCCCGGCATGCGGAAGATGCCTGGAATGCCAGGAATGGACAATGACAATTGGGAAGTTCAAAGGAATAGGTCAATGCCAAGGGGAGTTGATGCGTCTGCATCCTCTTCAGGAGGGCGCTTCCAGTCATCATTGGTTGGCAAAACAACACCAATGAACCCAAACCTCTTACCTCAGGGAAGTGGTGGTGTCATTAGTGGTAAAACTAGTGCCCTACTGCAAGGAAGTGGTCCACCTGCCCGTCAACCAAGCTTTGGCTCAGGTATGGAGCCCACTAGCCAAATTTCCAAGGCCAAGCCCACCCCAGCTGAACCAGCAGCTCCAGTTGAGAAACCTGCTGCTGCTGCTACCAATGTCAAGCCTGAGGAACTTAAAAGAAAGACTCTCTCTCTCCTTGAGGAATACTTTAGTGTCCGCCTGTTGGATGAGGCGCTACAATGCGTCCAGGAGCTCAAATCACCATCTTATCACAGCGAAATTGTGAGGGAGGCAATTAATTTGGGATTGGATAAGAACCCCCCTCGTGTTGAGCAGGTTGCAAAGCTCTTAGAGTACCTGTTTTCCAAGGGAGTTTTCACTGCTAGTGATATAAGCACAGGTTGCTTGCTCTACGGTGCAATGATCGATGATATAGCTATTGACCTTCCCAAGGCTCCCAATAATTTTGGCGAGATCATGGGTAAGCTAATTTTGGCTGGGGGATTGAACTTCAGTGTAGTGAAAGAAGTCCTGCATAAAGTAGAAGATGATATATTCCGGAAACCTATATTCGTTGCCACCGAGAGGGTGGTCGGACAAGGAGTTTTGGAAGCACAAGCTGCTGATGTTGAAGCATGCAGAGCCCTTCTCTGAATGCCGGTTGGTTGTTCTTTTTCCCCCCTTTACAGTAGTACTTGAAATTCAATGTAGTCCACCGCAATTATCCAACGTTTTTCCTATGATTACATTTTTGTTTTATGCTTTTCACAATTCCTCCCATGTTTGAGGTCAGTACCCATGTATTACTATATACTGAGTTGGAGCAGTGAGGATCTGGGTTTTTCTTTTAATTGGCTGTATATTTTGCTCCAAAGGACTAAGGTCATACTTGTAGGTTTTTTTCCATTTTTTTTAAATGTTTATTTTTTGGGATATTTTTTTGGTCTAGAAGCTTAAACATAATGCCATGGATTTTGCTGTCAGGCATGGCTGGATTATGTGTAATTTTCACATTTGGATGGTTTGTCCTTGTGAAGGACTGAGTTTGTTCTGTATTCGGTTACTTTCTGAATTTTGTGATATCCTGACTTGGACAAGTTTTTGTTCTTAACGGCTTGAGCAGGCCTCTGATTGCTTTGGTGCCTATAAATTTGTCAAACTCTCATGTCCTTCATGCACAAAAACATTTCTGTCCTAACAACTTTACTGTGTTTCGACTGTGTACTCTGTATATTGTTACTTTGTGTTAGTCTTGGCACAACTAACCCATATTTGATTATACGAGTCAACATTTGAACTGTAACCCTTAAAAGGTCAGATTTGGCCCAATATATAATGTTCTTCGTATTATTGAATGATTATTGTTACTGGTAAATTGACAGTAGCCTAGTAAGGATGATATCGATCTCAAACCAATCCGTTAGCTGCCATTTCCTATGATCCCGTCCATTTTTAAGGTCAGAATTGCAGATGTTAATTAAAATCAGGCAAGACAGCATAACCAAGATCATAAAGACAGCATAACCAAGATCATAGTACGAACTGTCTAGCATAATATGTATCCGAACCCAATTTACATGTAAAATTGCCAAATTAGTGACTAAACAACAGAAGAGAATAGTCGAGGCATAAATAAACTCTCCTAGCTCTCAAACATACATACTCAAAGCCATGGCCTCTTAATATAACAAAGCTAAAATCCTGAAGTATTTACTATAACAGAGCTCAATTTTAATTCTAGTATGTGTTTAAGACAACATAATATTTGAATGCTGATCAACTACTGAAAATTGCAAAATTGAAGTTATAGCCAGTTAAATTATCTAAGTATTTGCATTACACTGTTTTAGTACTCTGTCCATAGTAGCATGTCCGCACTATGCAGTTCGAACTAAGTATATCAATTATCAAAATGCTAAAACTGGAACTAGACGGCTAGACCCCGTATGTAAACAAGAAATTACAATGACCATTTCTCATTCTTTTCTTCTGACAGTAAGCATTTCTCATTCTTGTTAAGAATTAATATAAGTCACATTTCAGTAACCATCCAATAGAGATTCAATGAATTTAATGGTAAATAAACTATTGCAGAGGAAGATTCTGTAAATAGACAGGGATTGCATCACTGCATTAAGATTGAATAACAAATATTGATCCTAAGTTCCTAACTTTACAGTGAACTTCACTGTTTAGAAACAAAAACACAATCGCGCAAGAAGTGACTGCAAAGTTGTCTAGTTCTAAACCTAAATCAACAACTCTCCAGGAGATGAAAATCGCAGGAAAGTGTGACGTATTGTTATGTCTCAACACTAGTCAGCTGAATTCAGCTGAAAGTTAATCTGGTTAGCTTCTTGTGCTTAAGGTTTCTTGATCATGTTTCATGGCTTGAACTATTCCTTGAACATTTTGCTGAAATCATGAATCAAAATTTATGTTAGTGAGTAATACTATTTTTGGGACCATTGACAAGAGAATGCAATAAGAGAAGCATACTTACTAGGACTAACTATTCTTACGCACTTTCTCATGGAATTGACTCTAGTAATGGAATCAGAACCTGTAATCAAATAAAAATAACAGGAAAATGTCAGCCCCAAATCGTATGGAGTGAATGAAGAATCAATTGAAGAGGGGTAATTGTTTTAAAATGTTTACCATTTCCTGTCATGTCTCCTGTAAAAACTTCTCGAACAGCTGATGAATGCTCTACAAAATCTTGGCTACTCCCCAATTCTTCATTGTTTCCATCATGATTCAAACTGCATTCCATCCGACTTTAAGCATATACAAAGTATGATGATAACAATATGAAACCATACAACAAATACTTGATTCAATGCAGTAATATGGCAAAACCCACTTACCCCGTAACTGCAGCAGTTGAAGCACCTGCTGTTGATGGGCAGGAATAGTCAATACCTCCACAATCAATCCCAAAATCAGTCAGGAGCTCTGTCAGACAGAAGTCCGGCCCAAAGGCATCGAAATTAGCCAAATCCATGTCAAAAATGTCAACTTCCCTTTCAGATTCTGAGCTGGCACTACTTCCATCTCCACTGGTAGTTTCCACATTTGTTGGCATATCAGTACTGTCAAAATCCAGTCTCCCTTTGACATGTTCTCTATTGCCCTGCCGCTTGTTTGATTTAACAGGCGATGAAAAAGTACACTGATTCCTTTCGATGGAAATGTGTTTAGCAGGACTAACAATAATCGTCTTAGAGGAGTAAATAGTACAGTTAGTGGGTGTAGTCTCAGGAGGGGTGCTATCATGTTGAGACTTTGCTGTTGAAGAAACATCTTCAAGAGGAGAAGTGGATTTATCGCTTTGGGAAGAGAGTGCTCGTGGGGGTGTTTTGGGACCCGAAGAATTTGAAGTTGGAGATCCTGATGGCTTATCAAATAAGTTCTTTGCTACATGTGACCCTTGAATCGGCGATCCTCCTTGAGCAAAATTAGGGGATAGCGATTGTAGAGGAGGAGACTGATGATTAGTAACATGACCTTTAGCAGCATTACTTGGCTGTGCAGCTGAATTACTACCTGCAGTGTTAATTTTTGCAAGAAGCAAAATTCAGTAATGCGAATTGAAGTTTGCAAAATTTTATGGACTTGCATTGATGCATACAATGTTTAATCAAAACCAACCTTTGTCATAGAATGAGTTGTTAGTTATAGGAGTGCAATATTTCTTTGGTGCTTGAGGTACATCATGGGCATCCTTGTAAGTTTTTCTCTTCCTTGGAGGACGCGAACTAATGATAGGTGTTGAATAATTGGTATGATCCAGCTTCACACTCTGTGTCATTGACATCGTTGTCATAACTGGAGTTCTGTAAGCAGAATAACCTGAAAACCAGAGAAAAAAAAAGCATTGGGAATTAATTTCAGAAGGTTAATTTCCAATCTTCCACCATATGAAATGCAGCAAAGTTTGCAAGTAGACTTTGCTCTCATATCATAATATGCTACACACTCGAGCGCCACAAGAGGTAACTAAAATGTTTTAGACAATCTTCACAAACACTTCACTTAATCTGAAAGAGCTTTAATTGAATTTGAACATGTTTACTTACATGATACAATCATATTGGGTTGATTCGAAGATGAAAAATGTTGAAGACTACTAAAAAATTACATGCTTTTCATAGACAAATTTTCACACTATATACATCTAGATAAATGAAATTCAACAGATAGAGACTCTAACATGAAGGATGATCATGCCCGAGTTTTTGACAAATCCCTAATTTCAACTTCTCAATTCCCATAATGTCCTCATCTAAGAAACTACCACAATTTCACAAACCTAGAAACCAATTTCACTAATCAACCATATAATATGCATAAACATACCAACAAATGCAAATTCAATCAAACAACCAACACCCTTTTCCCCAACAAATCCAACCAAAAAACATTCTATTAAACCAAACAAATAAACCACCAAAAACCCCATTTCAAATCAACCAATGAAGAAGGCACAAACCTGAGTTAGGTGCAACAGAAGCGGGTGGCGGCGGAGGCGGAGGCGGGGGAGGAGGAGTAAGACAGTTAACAGTAGCAGCAGAATTATAAACATTCATCAAATCTTGCATTCCTTGTAAAAGGGTTTGAATCCTACACTTCTCTTGAACTAACCCATTTTTCTCTTGCTCAATAATCACTTTCTGTTCTTTCAACCAAATATACTCATCTAATAATTCCCCTAAACTCAGCAAACTTTTGGGTGTCTGTAATTCCACAAAAAACCCAAATCAAAATCAATCAAAAACTCAACAAATAATCCAAAAAAGAAAAAATCAATTGGATTGAATAAGTACCTCCTGAAGGAATGACTTGGAGATAAGAGAAGACACTTCGGAGTGAAAAGCGGACCGGGTTTTGGAGTAGTTATTATCGGCGAGGTAACGATCGACAATAAAGGCGACTTGAACTGGAGTTACTTTCCCTTTACCTACATTGTTGTTGGTGGTTGTATCGGGTTTTCTTCCTTTTCCTTGCTTCGCCATTTTTACTGGTTATTATCTTTGAGGAGAGAGAAAGTTAGAGAGAGAAAATTCAGGGAGTTGAATCTGAGGAAATTTGGGGGTAAATGAGAAAGAGAGGGAAGAAGAGAAGAAGAAAGAGGGAAGATAAAAATGGAGAAGGTTGCGCGGGAGAATTTTGAAATTATAAAATGAAGTTGCGGGTTTATTTTAGCGGGTAATGTTGCAGTTTCACTGTTTCAGCGCCATTTTCTTGGTTTTTTTTTTTTTTTTTTTTTTTTTTTTTTTTTTTTTTTAAATTTTTAATTTTTTATGAGCAATAAATTATTTACTACTCTATTATTCCAAGGATTATGAACCTGTTTTTTTTGGGCTCAAGGTGACAATGTTTTCCATTAATTAGGTGTTTTTTTTAAAAAAAAAAATGTAAGTTTGAGTATATTAACGGATTTTGAATTAAACTAAAATTTTTCCCTCAAAAGGAAAAATTAAAAGTTTGAGTATCACAATTTAGATTTTTGTTTTTTATTAAATTAAAAGTGATTGTTTTTTGTTTCTTACCTATTTTAAACTAATACTTGTAATTGATTTTGAGTTGATCTCCTATCAAATGACTTAATTAAACTTTATGATAAAATGTATTAACTTATATTTTTGTAGAGTATTTCATATTTTATACTTATTTTTATTTTAACCCATATATACAGATATAATTAGATTTATAGATCATATTATGCATTGATACATGTTAAACTTTTAAATTTAATTTTAACTATACAAAACACGACACAACCACGGGCGCACGAGACAGGACAAAATGGACAATTGTACACCCCGGCCCCCAACTTCAATTTCACTAGAAATCATTTTTTTACACCCAAACAAAAAAGGCGGCTAATCCCAAATAACCCAATTTCCCGCGCTCACCCCAAATCAAATCACTCAACCGACGGTGTCACAACTTCACTACCGGAAACTTACAACACATCAGAGACAAAATGGCTGCAACTACACCGTTAATGGCGGAACCTACGGCGGCGGCGATGAACTCCAATGAGTCGATGAAGATTGCAATCGCAATGGCTCTTCTCCGATCAAAGCTTCTCTCTCAACCTCACTCTTCTCTCTCCTCTTCTGCTTCTCGTACCTTCCATTGGAAGCAAAAGGTAAGCGCGCGCAATTCTCACTCTCTCTCCTCTACTCTGAATTTCTGATTGACGAAGTTCTTTGCTGGAATTTCAGGCGAAAAATCGTAAGCAGGAAATTCAACGACTCTCAGATGAGCTCAAACGTCTCGAAGGTTCGCAATTTCAATAATAGCTTAAATTCGTTTGATTTATAGTAAAATTTGAATTTAATGCTTATTTATTTTTGAATTTTTGTTTGTGCTTTTGTAATTAGATGATTTAGGTCGTGATTTATATCCGGAAAGTGCGTCCTGCAAGTGTTATTTTTTCAATAATTTGCAAATTGTAAGCCCTAAGAAGTTTATGGATGGATCTGATCATCGGCTGAATGATGTTCTTCGTTGCAGATTTCTCAGATTAGGTCATAATTTATCCTTTGTTCTTCAGCTTATTATAAGTAATAGAATAAGGAAATGTTTGTATGAGATTTGTTTTGTTGATTTGGATGAATTGATTACGATTTTGCAGTACGTTTGCATAAGAGAATAAAAACAAAGACGATCAATTCGATTGATCAACGAGCTTTTTCAGGTTCTAGTGCATCTCAAAACATTCATTTAGTACTAATGTTCGGTCTTGTTCCTGAGTAATGTATGTAATTCATATTGAAATGGACAATGCTTGAAATTGTGGAGGAAATTGAGTTTGGATCAGATTATAGAAAGTTTCTGTCTGCTTGTAATTTGTAATCAGAATATTACAAGGAAAAGGAGGTAGAAAAGCTGAAGATATCGGCTGAGTTTCTCGTGGATCTTTGTGAGACAACTAGCATGGTTAGATTTGCATTTCATAGACATTTGTTAACCTATTTTCAAGAAATATTTCTGTTTGTAAATGTAGTGGTATGGTCATGATTTCAAGCATGTTCAATGATTTTCTGCAGGTGAAGAGACCTAATTTTGCAAACTTGGCACATCAAGCTGTGGAATTCATTCTAGGTTAGGCATTGTTTTCATACTTGGTCTTGTATGATGCTAGTTTTAATATGAAAATTTGATATTATGTTATATTGTCTGCAGAATCTTTAAATTTATGCAAATATTGGTTTGAGGTTCATCTGATTACTTTTGGGTGAACTTGTGGTAGTTAATGTGTGCTTGATATTCAAATGTCTACTATGTTGTTTTACTAGTTGCGGAATGTAGTCTTGCTTTTATTTCTTTTGTAGTTTTATCCTATTAAGTTTGCGGTGGTTCTCACATTGCTTGAACTTTGTTTGAGTCTTGAACTTGGCTGGAAATGACAGGGAATGCAAAGAGTTTGTTTGTCTGCTGTTGGCACTAAATATAACTTGGTTGATTGATAGTTACAAAGGTCTTAAAAGCTAAATCTTTGCTGTATTCAGGGATTCCAATCCCAAGTGCATTATCTATGTATGTCAAAATGTGTGACTGTATCTCATAGCGTCGCTGACTTTCATAGGATATTGATGTTATGACTTCATCATCTTAGAGTGATGTATTTTTGTGCTGTTTTTGAAGGTTCTGTGAGTCAAGTATTGGCAACGGGGAAGGATATGGCTGTTACTGATGGAATTATCAGCAACTTGATTGTTTGTCTGATCAAAAGGACTTGCACACCTCTAGAAAATGGTAATTCATATTTTTTTCAACATACTCATTTGTTTCAATTATTTGATATTTTATTGGATAAATATTTCATCTTGGTTTTCCTCGGTGATTCGAGTTATAATGGACTAAACTTGATGCTGAAGTGCTTACAATTAATTTTTGGACATACTATATGTTTTGACTCTTTCAAGAAACTACTTCTCCCTGATTTTATAGTTTTTCAGTTTTTCTCACTGATTTGATAGTTTTTCAGTTTTTCCAAAACTGTCATGTCTGATTGATCATTGGCACTGGAAAACTTTTGGCCTGTTTCAATGTGATGGAACTTCAGAAAAATTGTTAATAAGAGCCTGTAGTTGAGGTAGTTGCTCTTTCAAACAGATATAACTGGAAAATGAATGCCCTTGTTCTTCTGTTCAGTAGTTGTGGAAGCCAAACAACTCACCCTGCGTAGAATCAAAGACCCCAATTTTTGTCTGTGGCAATAAAATGTCCTCTGACTGCATATCAAAATAGTAGTCTTCAGCTATGGCAGCAATTCTCTGTGTTTTATCATGTTCTCTTCTGTTTTATATAGTTTCTGATCTTGTTGCAAAATTGTTTGCAGAGCTATGTGACCCTGAAACTGATTCGCAAATTCATATTCAGCACATTATTCGTATGCTTGGAAATGTGTCCTATGTAGGACAGAGGGTCTTGCTTTCTGTCTGCCACAGGATATCTGAACCAGCAGAACGGTTGCTCTCGCTGGATCCGTTTGATGAGTCTTTTCCCCAGATACATGATTCAATGTTTGTGATGTAAGCTTCCCACACTTTTACATGATACGAGTGTTTTTTTTCCCCTAGTATGAATGTCCTGACTTTCTTCTTTGCTTCATTATAGCATCAATTGAAGTTATGGATTATTTACTTATTTATTTATTTATCTATTTATAAATTGAACCATTGTGGAATTCAGCATATATGCTTAATCAATCGCCTTATCTTTCCTCCTTTGACATGAGGTCCTTTGTCTATAATTGACAAGCTTCATTTCTATCATTTCTCATCTTCATCTCTCACCTAAACTGTCCTAATTATCTATGTATCAATATCCTCACCAATATCTTGGATCCCATATTGGCATTCATGGTTTGTTGGTATACCACAAAATGTATGTGGACTTACAGTGTCATGTAGTCCAGAAAATTTAAACATATAATTATGCTTTCTGCATATGCTGTTTAGTCTTTGACTAGTTGGTGGTCTTGCTATCTGAGGAGTAAAATATTCTTGTAATATTAGAAGGACTGCATTTGTTGTAACTGAGTTGGCTATCTTTTAGTATGGAGTAATTCCTTTTCTTATTCATCTAATAAATTGCTTGACTTGCAGGATTCAGCTTATTGAGTTTCTAGTGTCAGACTACTTAGTCACCTGGTCAAAAGATGAAGGTTTTGAGATTAGTATGTGTTTAACCTTGTTGTTTGGACTCCATAAAATCTTTTTTTGCAGTTAGATTTCAAATATTAACAGAAAGTACGGATATCAGTGCAAAAAATGGCGTTACTTTTGAAATTGGCTCTTATTACAGGGAACATAGTTGGTTAGGCCTTGAACCAGTATAATTAAGTGCACTGCTGTGCAATAACAAAATGTTTCTTGCATGTTTCAGTGAAACTGTCGCAGACTGATGTGAAAGTTTAATGTCATTGTAGGGTTGTTTGAAGAATGGCTGATTTCATTTCTTCATGCTCGTAAAACATTGCAATCAATGGAGAAGAGGTCAGGGCTTTATTCGCTTTATTTGGACCGAGTAACTGGAGAGTTGGCTAGACAGGTTGGCCAAGTATTGTCTCTCCAGAAACTCAACCAAGATATACTTGATGAATTGTTTAGCTAATTTAGGCCTCTGTATTATAAATATTTATATAGTCTTGGAAAATCCATCAAATTTCATTACTGTTGCTATTTTTGTAGAATGTCCTCCATTTACAAAGCTTATGCCATTCATTATAGGTAGGAAAACCAAATTGCTGTAAAGTGTGAACAATCACAAGGGAGCCTATATTATCCAAAAAAAAGTGTCATATTTACTGGGATATCATGTATTTCACCACAACGGACCTAGCTTGCATTTGCCCCTCCTTCAGTTCAGAATCTAATCTTACAGTATGTTTAAACACTAGGCTGTACCATATTACATGTTATCCTTTCAAAATGAATTACAGGAAAAAAATTATAAAAAAATAGATCATGCCATGACATGTCATTCATCCATAAAAGAAAGTAAAAATATTTATTAATGTAATAAGCTGAGATGTCATCCGCATCCAAAAACTAGTTAATTATAAGAACACTATCTCAACATTTTATATGACAATCTAGATGTTATTTACGCTATTGTTATCAATCTCCTCATCACTTAATTTATATAGGGACATGTAAAATAATTCGGTCACGAGTCATAATTAATTGAAAAAAATAACACACCTTTTATAGATGTTTAAAACTATATACAAGTAATACAATTATACTTCCAATTAAAATAAGTAGAAAAGGAAGAAAAAAACATTATACACATGCCTTTTTATATTTAGCTTGACCATATATATATATATATATTTTAAATTAGGATGCAAATTCCTAGGAAACTACTAATTTTTGCAGGCTAGATTGAAATCGAGTGAAGAAGGAAACAGAAATTACACGACAAAATCTCAAGTTGTTTAGTCAAAGGATTATATCCTTGAATAAAAAGATTCAACCAAAATTGATTATTCAACACACTTAATGATATACCAATAATTAAAATATATATATAATCTGGCAAGCTTCTCAACTAATTGCCATCCTATAAATATAACTACACAAATCATATAATTTCCTTCAATTCAAATAATTTCCACCCAAAAAACCTTCAGCTCTTCTCTTCATCATCATCATCATCATCATCAACCCGGTTTCATTTAATCAAATCATCCGAGCTTGAAAGTTACTTAAACAATCAAGATGACACAGTTGAGACGTCAATTTCATACACTGTTGTTAGTATGTTTCATGTTATTCATGTCACAATTTACTCTGAGTTCATCAGTACAACATGATGATGAACATGCCTTGAGTTATGCTGTTACTAGCAGCATCAGCAGCAGTAAGGCAACAAATGATGTTGATGACAATAACAATAGTCGTCGACTTTATTCATCGAATACCCGAAAACTTGCTGTGATGTTCCGAGGATCACCAAGATTCATTCCAGCCGTTGTTGCTAATCGTAGTAGAACATCAGATGCTTCGAATTTACACTCGTCTTTGCTCCTACTTCCGTTGTTAGCTTATTTCTTTCTTTAATAATCTTCATTTTTTCCATTTTACTTTCTATTACTATTTTACTTTTCCTTTAATTGGAATGGAACAGTATAAGTGTGTAATTATATATTTTGAAAATGTATATTGAGATTAATTTAGCTAATGTTATTCCTTATGTATAAATAGAAAACGAACATAAAACGTACCAAGTATGTTCTATGAACATCTTTTTAATCATGCATATAAGATATTGTAACTCCACTATTCCAGCTTGGGAAATTAATGTTAGACAGCTCTCATTATCATATTGTAGGCAAAAAGTTTATAATGTGGAAATTGGAAGAATGGTTAGCTTTTAATTTAAATTTGGTTAAAAATTATGATTAACGTTTAATTAGTCATATTAGGCTTTGCTAGTGGTTGATACCTAACATGATTAGATTTATACCTAATTTTAATTAGTTGTACTTAAATCCCTTGGAAGGAAAGGGGAATGTAAGAAATACAACCACTAGAGCCATTGTCAATAAGAATTCATTCTCTCTTAACAAAAACTATAGTACAATTACAAATTTACATACTTGTATACAAGTATATAACCTTCATGTAAAATATATCTATGTTCTTAAGGAGGTTTAATTTTAGAATAAAAGGGGTAAGTATTGATAGATATGAGGCATTTGCCGGGGATGCAGCAGATGATAATGCAACCGTTGTATATCTTACATGATCCTCTGTTCGTTAGCCAATAAATATGTCTAAATTCCAAAAAAATTGAGTACTAACCTTAGCAGTTAGCGTTCTTTATGATTATAGTTATAATGTCACTAATATAGATGGCTATAATTATGACATGATTTAGATGGCCAGCCTAAACCAATTAACTGTCTTCCTATTTGTATGCGCCTTCTCTCATTCTTTCACCAACATCCAAATTCCAACCATACGTCCATCTCCCTTCTCACTAACCAAGGGGATGACAATGTGGTTGAGGCGTCGATCCTGTGCACTCTTTTTATGCTCCGCCTTATTCATATTGCAATCTGATCTTGTCACCCCATCTTCTACTTGTCAGGGTGTGAAGAACTATCCTGTAATTAGCAGCAGCATGGAAACAAAGGGTGTTGATAGTAACAGTAGTTCTCGTTGTTCATTGCATTTTCGAAAGCTAGGTTTCATGGCAAGACGGCCAAGATTTATACCATTGGGTATGATTCACGGTAGAAAATCAGATGCTGTAAAATCACAAACATCTTGGTTCCATGGTTTCCTCTTGTTGGTCATTTATCTCTGTTACATGCTGTGATATATTTGCCTTCTACTCTTATCATATTCAGTGTTGAAACTTCAATGTTCCCGGTCAATATAAATTTTATACTACCTCGTATAATAATACCGACGTAAAGGAGAAAATTTTCTGGTAGCCTAGCTAGTTTGTTGGGGTGAGATGTCCTAGGTACCCTTGATGAGCGAACTGCAGCCAGGCTTCGATTAAGGTCACCATCAATCTTTCCATAAATATTAGGCAATTAGCCGGACTCTACGAATATCTTTCCAGAATTATCTTGAATACCGAAAAGTTAATGAACTTATGAACTTATTAGCAACTCTTGCAGAGCAATTTCTAAAATTCCCTCAAAGGCTTGATTCAGAGAGCATGTTTGGTATACATCTGTTTACACAGGAAGCATAAATGAAATTATGCAACAAAGTCTATAGCTTGCATATTACATTGGTCAAGGAATTTTTTCTTTTATTTTATACAAGGGAGTTACAAGGATATCAAAAGGCCCAAAAGTATAAAAAGTGAAATGTATACAAGGAATTATCAGCCTCCACTAATTGGTGGTATAATGGCTAATTCATCCCTATGTTCAACAATAGCAGATTCAGATGCATACTCCTCATTCAAAGCCAGCACCATGCACCCTCGTAACTCTTCGAGACCTGGAAACTGGGTGACAATCTTATCTAAACAATCACGAGCTGTGCTACCAGATTTTACCTCCAGTGACATATCAGCTAGCCCAGTCAGATCCCGGGCTCTGGCAAAAAACAGAACCTTTAGCTCAATTGATGATTTTTCATCCCTTTCATGAGTGTTGTCTTGACTTTCAGTCTGGTTCTTCAGCTCCATCTTGTTGTGTCAAATGAAGCCAAAATGTTGAGCATACGTTTTACAACAAACCGTCGATAGATCACACAACAGTCAATATCACCAGAGGAATGAGACTGATTAGTCAATACAACAAGCTAAAAAAAATTATCAGGCACCATTGAAATTAAATCACATACACACAGGTGTTTCTGATTGGAACAAGCTAGGCCAAAGAATCAAAGATCAGGACTCTATAAGAAAGGATGAAGCAACAATTTATACCCCCATCTCTAAGAATTTCAAAGAATAAAGTAAAATACAAACTACTGAGTCGGATAAGGTTTCAGAGAAGTGCAAGACATTTAAACTTGGAGTCTAGAATCTCTCTAGCTAAAGACGGTTTGCAGCTGAAATAATTCATGGTGCAAGGCTCAATCTTGTTGTTTCGTAGACTAGACACGATGCCTGTTTTTAATCACAGAAACTATAGAAGATAAAAGAAGCTGTAAGTCCCACTCAGTTCTAGTGATTTAGAACAACTGAACAAGGCGTTTTTATGTATACTGCGCTACTAAAATAAGGGGAGAAGAAGGAATAACTTTACTATTGATTGAGCCGCCACCTTTACCTTCAACTAACATCATAATCAGAATTATTTACAACCAGAGAGACCACAACAAAAGGCAAAACTTTAAAATGATTCCAACTTGCCAATTAAGCACCATATTTCAACCATTTTAGATATAGTGGTGAAAAAGAATCAATGGCCAGAATTCAACTATCTATGAAATCTGAATAAGTATATAACATGTGGTACGGTGGTTATGATTTGCACAAACAAAATTTTACTACATAAATCCATTAGTCAACACAAAACCCATCAAAACTTTCATCAGTAGTTCATTATTTTAAGACCTACAGCAAAGTACAAACTTGTGGAGGCCATGATTTACTTAAACAATCCTAATTCTTTACATAGGTTTAATTCTAAAACAAAACAATAACAAAAAAAGTGTACGAAAGATGTAATCAACTAAGTTTCAGATCTAAAAAATATCCCTTACCTTGTATACAGCTAAGTGGGTTTAAAGATGGTTGAAGGAGATGGTTTCGTTGACGAAATTTTCATTTTTTTTGGTAAATCTGCATGACCTCTATTATTATGCTGTCTTGACCCTTAATCCTCTAGGAGATGAGGGATAAGCAAATTAAGAGAGGAAGAATGAAAACAGAAAAAACAGGAAAGGAAGATCTAAAATGGAGGCTGGAGAGATGGAAGGAGGTCGAGAAGGTGATGAGAAAAGGGACGGCTAAGATATGGTTTAGGTTATTTGATATAAGAATCATTTAGACAACAATTTTTAAAAATTCCGTCTATTGACTGGTCAAGTGAACACAAGTCAGACCAGGATCCAAGTCCAACCTGCCTCCTATAAGGATTTGGACTCTTTCTTAGGCTCCTAGCAAATCCGAATCGGGCCGGCTTCAGTTCAGATTCGAATATAGTTGTCAACCCCATTTCCTCCATATATTATCCACAAGTGGACCATGATGACTTAACTTATAGACTCGAATTGAAGATTTGGAAGAAGACAGATACGGACAATTGGACATATGGTCATTGCTTGGCTCATTTCAGTGATAGGCTGCAAGCTGTCTTTAGATGCAGGAGTTGCATGACCACATATTGCCATTATCACCATCTAAATGGAATCCTTAGTCCCAGCTTATTGATAATGGCTACTTAGTTCTGTTCATAAAACATGACAGTTAAGTTCCATTATACAATAGGAAAAATTAAAACTTGAAGCCACCACCTGCTCTCAATTCATCTTTAGGATCAACACAACTAAGAAAGGAAATTACTAGTAATTCTTATAGCTGGTATCATCAATTCATCATAACTGCCCTAAGTAGAATTAAATATCTACATTAATCCAAGCTTACATAAGATGGGAAGACACAAAGAGAAGGAAAAAAAATTAAAAATAAAAATAAAAATTCATAGCCGTTTCTGAAATGGACAATGTCTTCTAGCGTTTGGTGCTTGGGTGAGTAGTAGGTATGGTGCCTAAGTGGTAGGCCACCATTGCAAAGTGGACACCAAGAAGCAACTCTTAGAAAATGAATTAGGTTCATAATTTAAATTCCACCATTTTAGTTCAAGTCTAGGAGATTAAGAGATATAAACCAAGTAGTGGTCCACAAAAATGTTGCTCGTTTCAACACCCAACTAAGCCATTAAATATCCAGCATCCACCCACCCTCCCCATGGCCCCATCTTATCCTTCATCTAGGTTGAGTTCCATCACACTCAAGTAAAATAGCTAAGCATGAATACTACATGAACAAGATATAAAATTTCTGATAAAACTACAATTCCCGTCTATCAACAGCAAGAGTGCATTATAAAATTAATAAGTAGCATATTATACTATGCAAGCAGTAAACCTACACCTATTTTCTGCTAATATATTCAATACAAGCTCTAAAAAATGAGCAAATGGGAAAACAACTAAGCCTTAGGTTGTACGATACACCCGTTGCACAAGGGAAATGGTAATTAGTGTAGAAACAATGACTTGTTAAGCTGTTTGTCCCATGAAAAGCTAAATTAGTGCAGGGTATTCAATCTAACAATGGTTAAATTACAAGGCTCTTACAAAATTTCATCAATCCAAACAAAATCAATACACAGCTAATCATACACCACTAATTCCAATCCCCAAATTTAATTAACTAAATACAAGATGATGATTGTTTATAAAACCTAATATTCCAGATATCATAAAATTGAGTTCAACTAAGCATTATATATCAAAGAACATATTCAAAATAGGTAAAGATATCCCAAATTTAATCAAGTGGGTATTATAATCTAGGTTTAACATCAATAAAATGAGAGAAAGTCAAACTTAATAATTGTAGCAATTGACAAGGAGAAATCAAATTTACCTTAGTGTGAGCTGCAGAATTATAAGAGATGGAATTCCGGCAATCGGAAGAGCACGGCGGCCGGCGAACACAACCACCAGTAAGGCGGCGGGACTATTGAATCACCACCGAGTTCCGGCGAAAAGGAAAGTTCGGAACTTTTGAGGTTTGGAGTTATCGTTAGAGGCAATCGGAAGTTTTGGTGTGGCGTTGGGCATTTCTTATTTGGGGCCTCACACAATAATCCAAAATTCCAAAGTATATTTTATACAATACAAGTAATTCAAATTTGAGTCCAGTTACAGTCCGAATTCGAATAATGAGAAAAAGCTATCTCTACAAATATTGTTATACGAGTAGTAGCTAATACTCCGTATAAGATTCAATCAAAAAATTTCAATTTAATTTAAACAACTCTCTTATCAGCTGATCCAAACACTTGTTGGTTATATTTTGTCTTAATGATTTAAAATCAATTACTTCTAGATAGTAATACAATTTCACCAATTTTTTTTGTTTTTTTGAACAGAAGTAATTTCATTGGATGTTACACCGAAGAAAAATTGCGCGTTTTTTTACCAAGAAAGCTTTTTTTTGAGATGTTGGGGAGCATTAGGGACAGTGGTAAAAGTGGGAAGATGCAAATCAAATGTATAATAAGGTCACTACTTTTCAAGGTTGTGGGATGCTTTATTATTTGCACAAGGTGTTAGTTGTGCACTTGTGCCAGAAATGGGTATAAGGTTCACTCTAGATCAACAGATTGGCTTAAGGAAGTAGTGACAAAAGTTCTTGTGCATCAGGACACTTTGATGTTTCACGAGGTTGATGAAGCCAAATTGTTGGTTGTATACCACCTTAAGTATACTCCATACTGTATATAAAACCGATAGCATTCGTTGGCCAGGGCTGTATCCGGTGTCTACTTAATAACCATCTATACATGTTGACAAATCTAGCTTATAATTTGAGTTACAAAAAGAATAATCTTGCAGATATTTCAGAATCAAATTATATCAGAACACAGGATTTTTGACCATTTATTCATTTCAGAACAACATCAGTATTTACAACAGCTAAATAAAAAAATAAGCTTTACATGGTAGTCACAAACAAATTTTGCGAAAACGAATACAACTCAGGTGAGTGCTGGTATTATCACAACAGAAATCACTCAGACAAGAGCAGAGATGACTTTCAACATCTTTTCATAAACAGCTGTAAAAAGTAAATTCTTGCCTACAGTCAAACTGGTGCCAGTCGGCATTTATATCCTAAAAATGTCTGTTTGAAATCGTTCATCATACAGCCTCCAGTGACCATACCTCTCAGTGTGATACACTGATCTTGGTATATAAAAGTTTGGTTTCAAAATTGTCTTCAAGTTCTTCAAATTTGAGGATGCATTTAAAATATCACGACTAGTCAAGTTTGCACACCCATTCAGATCCAAATATTCCAGGTTTAAGCAGCCTTCAGAAATCATAGCAAGGCCTCTACCTGACAACCTGGAAAACTTTAGCTCGAGATGCTCTAACTTAGGCATGGATTTACCAATGGCAGCAGCTTCAGAATCAAAGTCTTGGGGGCAAGCATTGAGGTACTCATTTGGTACAATTCCCCTATGCTGTGAAGAATCCAGCAGATTCATGAAATTGCGTTTTAGTACCTTCAGATGAGGACAGTTTCTTCCAATTGACGATAGAGATTCATGAGAGATCTCATGGCAGAAGCTAACATCGAGTTCTTTCAGCATAGGGCAGCTCTTGGCCACCTCAGTCATAGCTGCATCAGAGACACTTTGGCTACTTTTAATTGAAAGAACCTCAAGTTTTGGGCATCTGTAAACAAAGCAATCAAACTCAAAGATCATTCACAAAATTCACAAGGGACTTTATAACATTCCTGATCGTTTTCACAGAAGCAAGAATGTTCTTTTATTCTTTACTCAGAGGTTTTTAGTGGATATTGCGCGAGGTCAGGAACAAAAAAAAAAGAGGGAGGGGGGGGTGAGGAGGAAGAAACGCTAGCTCTAGCTCCTATTAATGAGATATACTTATTACTACTCTACCAGTGATCAACTGATCATGTTAGCAATAGTGTTGAGATATACTTAGATATGCAAGGGTTATTCCCATTACAACAGAAAAAGTACAAAATGAAGTCCATCAATCACCATGGAAAACTTGGCAAATCCAACTGTCCAAGTATCACAAGCAAAAAGATTGGAATTTCAACCAACATAGCATGTGTACCACATAATAGTTAGAGAAGGCTTATCACAAAGGATAAGCAACAAGAGCTAAATATGACATAAGACCTTCATGTGGTGTGTTTAGGGAAAATAGGTGCAGTAGCAAGTAATCAACTGGGCAGAAAACAGTGGCCTACAATTCCCACAATCTATAATCTTTGGGGTTGGGGAATGGAGGCATATGTATTAGGCTAAAAAAAATACAACAATATATAATGATCAGATACAAGGGTATAAGAATATTTATTAGCCACAATATATTGAATTTGTAAATTTCCAACATATTTCAATCACGGACTTAAGACTGGAAACATTTGATTACTCATCCCCCACCCCCACCTTCCCCGGCACTATGCACCAAGCCTAAACCACCAGTGACTATCACCAACATGAAGCGAAGACCAGTTCAGCAGCATCTTACTAGCTAATTGACACGTCAAGAGGAGGGAATAAAAGTTGTTATTTAAAGTTGTTATCAGCAAAATTTAAGGGGAAGGAATCCAGAAGCTGTGAGAGAGTTTGTTATGCCTTAAGCATTAAGGGGTAGAATATAAATGCAAGAAATCATTGAGAAATATATTGATGTTCTGTTGGAGAAAATTCCTAGCTCTCGAAAGTAGGAAGGTCGGTTTGGATACCTTAAGCCAATTCTTATCTTTTGCTATCTATTTTTGCCTAGTTGATTCCTGTCACTAATCTAACTAATAGCAACCCCCTCCCCCAATTCATATATTAGTTCATAAAACCCCATTCCCATGAGCCAAACACCTAGTCAATAAAAAAAAAAGGTCTGATATTCATCGTTTCAAGTACTCACAGCCTATTTGGTAAAATTCTAATAAGTGGTGGTGATAAAAATAAATTTGTATATAAAATTGTAAGAAAAATCAATTTCCATTACCATGGTAATGCTAGTTCACTGCAAGTTCTCTCTTTTTCTTCAAATTTTTTTATTACCATCCATTACCATTAGGGGGTGGTTATGAATATATATAAAGAAAAACACTACGTTTAGGGATGAAATTGCATTACCAATTTACCATTGACATAAGGATGTTGTTTTGCTTATCATATTACACTTATATTCATATCCATTATCACTATTTATAACCGGCTACCAAATTGGTCATAAAGTTCAAAAGAGTTTGAATTCCCCTTCCCTAACTAAACTTTTAATAGTCCCATCATAATATAATTCAATCAAGAGACATAACTTTCCAGGGACTTCACCATTGTTTTCTTCAGCATAAAAAGCCTAAAGTACATGCACTACACTAAGGATATTGTAAATGTCCAAGGTCCAACAACAAGCCTCAACCATGTATAACAAAACCCCTACATATATCATTAAACTCCCAAATTAATAACTCCAAATCCTTTTTAATATTCATATAGTAGGCAATTTCTTCAAAGCCCTTTGACAAAGTGCTACAAACTACTTTCCTATTAAACCAAACTAAACCCAATTTCAAAACCATACTTTAGTAATCACATCATTCATCAAATTATCTAATTAATCCCATATCACATAAATTCAAAATCCAAAAATTTTTTTTACCCATTTCCATTTTCCACACCATCCAGAAATTCCTTATAATTAATCGGATCGAATCCCATCAACATCACTACTTCTGCGATTCCATACTAAATTTGAAGGTATTCAAATGAATGATCAAACTAATACCCAAAAAAAAAAAAATAGAGTACAAAAATTGAAAAAAAGAAACAACCTTTGAGCAGCAAAAATGAGGGCCTGATCAGAACAATGTCTAACACGGATTTGTTTCAACAACCCATCACTCGAATCGACTATGAATTTAAGAATCGCATCGATCTTCCTCTGAAACTCGGGAGACCACCAACGAGTTGACTCAGTAGATGACTCAAAGTAAGGTTCAAGATCAAGCGAGTTGTTGAGAGAAGAGTCTTTGCAAGCTTCCATCCATGGCTTGCAGACGAGCATAGGTCCCTTCCATCTGTCCTCTAATGGCAGACGTGAGAGGATGTTGATTAAGCACTCGTGAGTTAACTCGGCCCAATCTGAGTTGTGGGTTAACTCGGTTGGGTTATCTTCTATGTTCATTTTTGGACAGATTGAACAAGTGTTGGCGCAAATTCTTTTCTTATACGAGTAGTACTCATCAATTTCATTGAAGGGGCAAAGTGGATATTGGACATTTCGTTCACCCGTGAGAAGTGTCATTTCGGATTTCTAGATCAACTTCAATAAGTTTGGATTGGATCTATTTTAAATTTAGGTCATATTAAATGATTATGTCCATATGTGTTGAAATATGAGTTTTGTTTAACTTTTACGAGTCGATCGGCTTAGTTTTTTAACACCTATTCTCTTGTTCAATTCTATGACTTGTACCTACAATTTTATTTTGGAAAAATAGAAACTAATAATCCCACCTTTGAGTGGTCTTCTCTAAACAATCTCACCTTCAATTAATCTCAAAATAATCTCATCTTTGCACTACATTTGCTCAAAATGGTTCTTGACTAGTTGTTAACCGATTTACTAGGTTAACTTAAAATGTGTCAAGTTTCCATTGGTTTAATGTCTTTTAATTTTAATTATAATTATTAGAAAAGCTTTCTCTCTCATACCTCCCCCATCCTTTTACCCATGCCCCCTCAAAACCACCGGCCTTAGCGTCTGCGCCCCTCCGTTGTCCTTTATCTCTCCTCCCCTTAACCAAATCACCATTGTCGTCGGTGGGACGGGTTTTTGAGTGGGTTGGGTGGGTTTTTATGTTGTGGGTAGTGTGAGGTAGATTTTGGTGGTGAAGGGAGGGTTGAATTTTGGGTGTTGGGTGGGTTTTCGGATTGGGTACAATTTGGTTTCGGGGTGGTGGGTAGGTGGTTTTCGAGTGGTATAAAGTGGTGATCAGTGGGGTAGGTTGTTTGGTATAGAGAAGAGAGAGAGAGAATATTGTTTTTCTTGTATTATAGAAGATCAGGCAGCACTAAATATATACACAAGTACATAGCTAAATATATAAAAGAATCCCTATAATTAGGGAGAGTATAAAATATAGAATATATGATTGAGAGGATAGTGCCTAGAAGCAAGGAGAATAATGTGGAAAGGATTTTCAATCCTTATTACGCCCCCTCAAAACGGGCTGCAAACTTGATAGCCGATTTTGTGAGTTAACTGGGAGAATATAGTACGTGACAAAGGCTTCGTAAGGGCGTCGGCTAGTTGATCATTAGTGGAAATGTATGAGACACGAAGTTTCCCAGCTTGAACATTTTCCCTGACAAAGTGATAGTCTAACGCAAGGTGCTTCATTCTGGAATGGAAAACAAGATTTACGCTTACGTACGTAGCACCTGCATTATCACAATATACAACGGGCATGGTGGAGAGTGACTGGCGCAGCTCGAACAGAAGGTTTTGAACCCAGTGGAGTTCGGCAATGGCTGCTGCAACAGCTCGGTATTTAGCCTCTGTTGAAGACCGAGCTCGTGTTTTCTGCTTTCTGGATGTCCAGGAAATTGGGTTCCTGCCTAGGTACACAATATTAGTTGTTGTGGAGATGTAATCATCTTTGTCACGAGCCCAATCTGCATCAGAATATGCATGAAGATTAAGAGGAGAATCTATGTGTATAACAAGACCCATGTGTGATGTACCATTGGGATAACGAAGGAGACGGTGAAGGCTTTGCATGTGGACATCCATGGGTCTTTGCATGTATTGTGCTAATTTATTGACAGAAAAGGCCACGTCTGGACGAGTGAGGCTTAAATATTGAAGACTTCCAACCAAGGAGGGATACTCAAACAGGTCAAGAAGAGGAGTGCCTTCAATAGAAAGAGGAGGGTGAGTAGCAAGAGGAGTAGCCACTGGTTTAGCATCCTCCATATTAGCCTTACATAAAATATCATTTATGTACCTAGTTTGACTGAGGAGAATTCCTTTGGAGTGAGGCATGACCTCCACCCCTAGGAAATAAGAGAGTGCTCCTAAGTCTTGTAGGAAGAAACGAGACGCCAGCTTTGTGATGAATGACTCCAAGGAAACCGGATTATTGCTAGTGATGATGATATCATCAACATAAACAAGCAAGAGGATAGTAATGCCATGCTCAAAGAAAGTAAACAAAGAGGAGTCAAACACGGCATTTTAAACCCAAGAAAGAGAAGATGGCTACGGAGTTCATTATACCAAGCTCTGGGAGCTTGTTTTAAACCATAAAGGGCCTTGTGGAGTTTGCATACATGAGTAGGATGAAGAGGGTCGACATAGCCAGGGGGTTGAATAGTGTAAACATCTTCTGTGAGAGTGCCTTGGAGAAATGCGTTATTGATGTCGAGTTGACGCAATGGCCAACCGTGAGTTACAGCAAGACTGAGAACAAGATGGATGGTAGTGGGTTTAATCACGGGACTGAAGGTTTCGCCATAGTCTATTCCATCACGCTGAGTAAAGCCACGAGCAACATATCGAGCTTTATGTTGGGTGATGTTACCTTCCTTATCCCGTTTAATACGGAAAACCCACTTACAACTGACAACATTTTGAGAAGGAGAGGAGGGAACTAGAGACCAGGTTCCATTTTTCTGGAGAGCAGCAATTTCTTCATCTATTGCTTTCCTCCATATAGGGCTTTTTAAGGCTTGAGTAATTGTTTTGGGAATGGTGGAAGTATGGACTTCGGCATTTAGGTTGAGTTTGTTTATGGGCTTGCGTATGCCATGTTGAAGCCTTGTGACAATTTGTGGGGAGGGGGATGCATAGGACGGTGATAAGGGAGGAGAGTGAGATGTTGGAGAGGATTGAGGCAAGGAAGAGGAGGAAGTATGATCTTGTGAAGAAGATGTCGTATGGGTGGGTGGAGAAGAGGAGTTTGCAAAAGTAGTGTGTTGTGTCTGACTTGAGGAGCATAAAGTGTGATTATCATGAGATAAATGAGTAGTGGAAGGTAATGGAGGAGATAAAGTAGAGATGGATAATGGAGCCCACTGATCAGCCAAATCAGTAGGGGAATAGGTGTATGAGTGGAGTGAAGCAAAAGGAAATACTTGTTCATTGAAGTGTACATGGCGTGAGACGTATACCTTTTTAGAATTTAGATCAAGACAGTAATATGCACTTGTGATGGGGATTAGCCAATAAAAACACAAGGAGTAGACTTTGGGTCAAGTTTATGAGATGAGTAGGGTTTTAGCCAAGGATAGCAAAGAGACCCGAAACACCGAAGTTTGAGATAATTAGGATGTTGACCAAATAATTTGTAATAGGGTGAGACATTTTTAAGAGTAGGAGTAGGAAGCTTGTTTATTAGATAAGCCGCCGCAGTAGAGGTAGCATTTGACCAATATTCGAGAGGCATACTAGCATGAGCAAGAAGAGAAAGGAAGGTTTCAACAATATGTCTATGGCGACGCTCGGAATAGCCATTGTGTTGAAGGGTGTGAGGTGGGGTTGTAAGATGAGAAATGTCGTCAATAGTAAGATAGTTTTGAAAAGTTAGGAATTCACCCCCATTATTGGAGTATAGGACCTTGAGAGGAAGCTGGAAGTATATTTCAACAAGAGATTTATACCGGATGAATATTTGTTTTGTGTCCGATTTTTGCTTGAGATTGTATAGCCATATATATTTAGTATAGTGATCTATGAAAATGAGATAGTACTTAAAACCATCATGGGAATAAACAGAAAAGATCCAAAGATCAGTATAAACATATTCAAGGGTAGCATTAGAGACAATAGAAGACGTAGCAAATGGGAGTTTATGACATTTATTACAAGCACACGAGTTACAATCTAAAATAGAGATATTAGGGACATTTATTTTATTTTCAGAGACAATTTGCCTAAACACATTCCGAGAGGGATGGCCTAGGCGATGATGCCATGTAAGAGAACTCATTGTGCTCGTGTAGGTAGTAGGAGGAACGGAAGGAAATTCATAGATGCCATTATTAGTTTTCCCTTGGAATAGAAGATTCCCCGTTGAAAGATCCTTCACAAGAAAAGAAGAAGAAGTGAAGGTTATAGAGATATTATTGTCAAGACATAATTGAGAGATAGAAATGATATTTTTAGACATGGATGGAAAAACTAGAACATTATTTAATTTAAGAGAAGAGATAGAACAAGAACCAAAGTGAGATATTTTGAGACCCTTACCATCTCCAACGATCAACTCTTCGGTACCATCATACGCGGCATGGAGGGATAAGTTGTTGAGATCGGTAGTGACATGATGAGAAGCCCCACTGTCAAGAAGCCATTGACCGAAGGAAGATGGATTGGATAATTGAGTGTTGTGAGCTTGAGGTGTGCGGATGGTCTGTGGTTTTTGAGAGGAAGTATAACGAGAGGGGGGGAGTAGTATTAGGAAACTGTTGAATGAACAAAGGACATTGCGCAACCACATGACCTTGTTCTCTACATCATTGACATTTACCAAGAAAGGGGTGTGGTTGCTTGGGAGTAGGAAGGATACCTTGAGTGTTTTGCCGAGGAGGAGGACGATTGGAGAATATTGAGGATGCAGCAAAAGCAGTGGCTGGAAGGGAGGAGTCATGGCATTGAGATTGTTGAATAGAGAGCTCCTTGGTAATGAGTTTCTCATGTAGCTCTTCAAAGGAAATGGTGGAGTCACGGGCATTAATAGAATCAATGACAGACTTATAAGAATTATCGAGACCGGCGAGGATTTTGTCAATTAAATCCTCATCTTCAATAGGCTTCCCTAGTGCAGCCAAACGATCGGCACATTCCTTCAAGGAATGCATGTAATCAGTAATGGAGGAACCGCCTTTGACAATACAATGTAATTTATCCTTGAGTTGCTTAATGTGACCACGAGAGGGGAGAGCATAGGTGTTATGGAGTTTATTCCAGGTTTTGGCTTGAGCGAAAAGAGGAACTAGATTGGGAGAGATGGTCCCAATAAGAGCTCCAAAGAGGAGGCGGTCTTGACGAACCCAAAAAGTATGCAGTGGGTTAGGCTCTTCATTTTCGTCAACGATGATGGTTGCAGGTGGACAGGGGAGAGATGGTCCCAATAAGAGCTCCAAAGAAGAGCCATGGTGGAAAGAAACAGCGGAGAAGAAGATGCTGTTATTTAGGACCAAGAATTTGATACCATATAGAGAAAAGAGAGAGAGAATATTGTTTTTCTTGTATTACAGAAGAGCAGGCAACACTAAATATATACACAAGTACATAGCTAAATATATACAAGAAACCCTATAATTAGGGAGAGTATAAAATATAGAATACATGATTGAGTGGATCGTGCCTAGAATAAAGGAGAATAATGTGGAAAGGATATTTTCAATCCTTATTATTTGGGACTTTGGGTGGTCTTGGTGGTGGGTTAAAGTGGCGAGACAATCGGGTTTGGGGTATTCAATTTGGGTCAAGATCCTCTGAGATTCCAAAGTGGGTTGTGAACTTGTGATGGCTGGCAAGTGGTGAAGAAGGAGGTGGCTTTGTTGGTGGTGGTTGGTGAGGATAAGGCCCTTGGAGTCTTGGTGTTGTTGGTGATGGTGATTGTAGTGATGGTGGTTGTGGTAATGGTGGTAGACTGGTAGTAGAGCTTTATTGAAGGAAAAAAAAGGGTTGATTTTAACTTGTTTAATAAGTAACCAATAAAAATGACCATTTTAAGAAGATAAGGTGTAAAGGTGGGATTATTTTGAGATTAATTGAAGGTGGGACTATTTAGAGAAGATCACCCAAAGGTGGGATTATTAGTTTCCATTTTCCTTTTATTATTTTTTTTAAATGTCACCAAGATTAGAGTATTAAATAAACTAGTTGTAGAAACAACATACATAGGGTTTAGAGCAGAGTAGATTCCAACTAATACAAACTTCAACTAGGTACAAATTAAACTTCAACTAGGTGTATTGAGTCCTAGGTTTCAAAGGGTTAATCATGTGGTTTGTTGATCATGGATTCATACTTAGACCTCATTTGGTTGACATAGAAAATAAATTTCGTAGGAAGTTATATTTCATGGGAAATTATTTCCCACATGAAATTCCCAAGAATTTCTTAAATTTCTTTAAATTGTTTTGTTGTGACAATGGAAAGTTGGAATTTCCATGAATTTTAAATGACCAAGGGGTGCCTAGGTAATTTACTTCCTACATTTTGTGGAAAGTGGAAATTACCATGAATTCCAACTTCCCCCATTTTTGCTTTTTTTGTGTCAACCAAACAACTACCCAAATTACAAAATCCCATGAATTTTCACTTCCCCCATTTTATTTTGTCAACCAAACAAACCCTTATTATTGCTCACTATGGCCCTGTTCTTTTGGACTGAAATTTGCTGAACTGAATTGATCTGAATTGAAACGACCTGAGCTGAACTGACCTGACCTAAAATGACCTGACGTGAACTAAAAAATTACTCCTTCCACTCTCCTTAATTTACACAATTTTTAAAGAGAAATAAAAGTTGATAACAATTAATTATATTTTAAACAAAAAAAAAAAAAAAAAGAAGTTACGTGATTGGTGGAGGGAAAAGGAACATTTACAAAGTAAAATCACAAACTCACCAAGAAATCAAAACCAAACGAACATCCATTAATATTGAAACTAAGGCCCTGTTCACTTAACCTTAAAAAAATAATATTTAATAAAAATAATTTAATTTCAGTAAAAATAATTTCAGTTCAGCAAAAATTAGTTCAGTTTAGTAAAAACAAGTTCTGTTCAGTAAAAATAATTTTAGTTCAGTAAAAATCAGTAACTTTGAGAAGAAATATATAACTAAAAATCAGTAAAAATAATTTCAGCTCAGCAAAAATAATTTCAGTTCGGTAAAAATAATTTAAATTCAGCAAAAATAAGGTAAAGTGAACGGTGCCTACATAAATAATATGAAATTTTAAAACAAAATATAGAATAATACAGCAATCCAAAACAAAATGTAGAAGATCGTAAATTAGTACAGAGTACGAGTTTTTTACATTACCAAGGGCAACACAGTAATAAGATCTTGAGTAGTGAAGTAATCACACCCACGCAGATCCATAACGTCAAGGTTTATGCAGGCTTGAGAAATCAAAGCGAGGCCTTCACCTGACAACACAGATAACATAAGGTCGAGACTCAACAAATTAGGCATGGATCCAGCAATAAAGTCTTGGGGGCAAGCTAGCATCGATGTATTCATTTGGTACAATTCCCCTATACTGCGAAGAATCCAGCAGGTTCATATAATTGCGTTTTAATCTCTTCTAGTCACTTTCAGACCTTCACGACTGGCATTTCCTTTTGCATTATCCTCAGCCACAGCAGGGAGCAGTGATCTGATGGCATGTTGTTGGGCACAACACATCGGCCAAGACCATCATCAGGGACACCCTCCTAAACTCCTGAGCATCTTCAGCTGCACCCTCAGCAGCTTTCAAAATAGTTGCCCTTGTTATTCCCTTTCGCCGTGTATGTCTTGTACTTGTCAAATATTATGCCCACCTCTCTGCTCATTTGCTCCTTCACAACCCTTGTTGGTATTGGATTCGGCCCAACATGGATTCTAAGAACCCAGTGCATTTGGACATGAGTCAACAGAATAAGTTTCCTCCTTGGAACATCAACCCGTGTAGCAAGCCAATGGCAAAGGTTTCTTGGCAATAACCTGTTAACCAAACAAAAAAGAGATTCCATCTCCATTCCGGCAACCCATTGTTTCTTCGACTCAGAAAAACTATCCATACCCGACAATTCACGTTGAACATTTGCGTGATCAGATAAGCATAGATTTCATTAAGTACAAAAATAAGAATATAAGATTTTCCCTTACTTAGGCTTCATTGCTAGTTTAATACCAACCAAAAACATTACCTCTTCATCATGTTCCAGCCTTCTCCGAACAACAACTCTGTCTTCCTTGTAGGTCCACCAAACACATCTGACTTAACCGTTCACAAGTTACACATTACCTCTCTCGCGTCCTCAATATCTGTGTGCAATATGACGAGTTTTGTACATATGATCGTTTCTTGAGTTTAAATGCATAGTCGTATTATCATCTATTGGATGTATTGAATATTAAATGTTAAGATTTCACGAAAACCTGGAGATTGGAAAATCTATTGTAGCTTGTCAAGTCTTGTTTTGTTGAACTACTTACTAGGTTGCGCCCCACCGTTTCACCTAGGTGTAGTAGTCAATAGTGGACTTTTCACTCATTAATAGAGTTAAAAAGGATTTCAAGTAATAAGTTTTACTAGAATTATGCATTAAATGCTTGGAGAGATAGATAGTAACCTTGATAATGAACATGACATTGAAGTGTAGCAAATTGCTAGATATGACATTCATAGTGAAATATTGAAATGAGACTATGAGAGTGAGTAATACTTTTTGGCATTAATGAGTAATTGATAAGGTTTAGAAGAGTTAATATTTTCATTTTTCTTCCAGGAAAGAAGATTTGCCGTTCTAGCTTCGACACTTCTTTCAAGCCAAACCAAAGATCATGTTACTCATGGCAAGTTCCTGCTTTTATCTAAATATTAATTTTTTTGAGGTTGAAGGTAACCCTTAATTTTGTTGACATATAATATGTTCTTCAACAGTTCATGTTTGATGAAAGCGATATGGGTGGTTTAAGATGTCTGTTCTTATGCAAAAAAAAAGATTGTTCAAATACTCTTGTAACTGAAAAAAAAGAGAGAATTGAACATTGTATTTAGTGTCACAAACTTTTTAAGTTGATGAATATTAGTTTAAGTAGATCACAAAACTCACCAAGAAATTAGTACAAAATGCAGAAGATCATAAATTAGTACAAGTATTTTACATCACCAAAGGCAACACAGTTATAATATCTTGAGTAGTCAGGTTATGACACCCACGCAGATCCATAACGTCAAGGTTTATGCAGCCTTTGGAAATCAAAGCGAGGCCTTCACCTGACAACCCAGAAAACATAAGGTCGAGACTCAACAAATTAGGCATGGATCCAGCAATGGCAGCAGCTTCAGAATCAAAGTCTTGGGGGCAAGCATCGATGTATTCATTTGGTACAATTCCCCTATGTTGAGAAGAATCCTGCAGGTTCATGAAATTGCGTTTTAGTACCTCCAGGTGAGGACAGTTTCTCCCGATTGTTGGTAGAGATTTATAAGAGATCTTATGGCAGAAGCTGATATCGAGTTCTTTAAGCATAGGGCACCTCTTGGTCACCTCCATCATAGTTGCATCAGAGACACTTTGGCTGCTTTTGATGGAAAGAACCTCAAGTTTTGGGCATCTGTAAACAGGGCAATCAAAGTCAAACACCATCATTCACAGAATTTAGATGGACTAAATAATTTTCCTGATCATTTTCACATTAGCAAGAACCTTCTCTTATACTTGTTCAGAAATCAGAATTTATTGAATGTCAGGCATGAGGGGGAAGAGACAGAGCGTAGAAGCACTAGCTCTCCTACTCGTGAATTCAATAATTCAAGTAAAGTAATATTGAAAGATGTTTTACTAGCTAATAGTGACCAATTGATGAAACTGATCACAGTTTGCAATAATGTTAAGATATACTTTACAGACACAAAGATTATTTGTATAGCAACAGATTAAGTACAATAGAAAACATGGCAAGTACAAGAATTGAAATGAATATGCAAAAATTATCAGAGGCAAAAGATTCAAATCACAAAACGATGTAAATTCTAACCAATAAATATGCACACCACATAATAGCTTGAATAGGCTTAGCACAAAGGATAAGCAACAAGATCTTGCGACAACATAAGACCAAGATCTCGCGACAACATAAGACCTTCAATGGTGTGTTTAGGGGGCATAGATGCAGTAGTAATTAAGCAATTTATAATCCCCTGGGTGGGGGAGAGGCTAATGTATATGGCTACGAAAAATACAACAATATATAATAGCCAAATTGAGTACTACTACATTATTCCATCATATAGTAACCAATTTATTCAATCATACATTAGCCAATTTCTTCAAAATTTTCTTACAAAGTGCTATAAACTAATGTGTACTGTCCTATTAAGTATTAAACCAATTAATGCCCAATTTCAAAACCATACTTTAGTAAACAAATCAATTACCAATTTGTCTAATTAAACCACTTCCATTTCCACACCACCCAGATTTTTTTTTTAAATATACCAAGTAATAAAGGTAGAGCACCAAAAATCACATGTTTATGTTCATCCTCAATGTCAAGTAGCATAGTTGGTCTTATTTAAGACCCCGGATCAAATCCCGTCAATATCACTTATTTCACAATTCCACACCAAATTGCTATATTTACCAAATGGATAAAGGATATCAAAGCTGACCCAGGCCAAAAAAAAAAAAAAACAAAAATTGGAAAAGGAAAAGAATAGGAAAAAATGTCAACCTTTGAGCAGCATAAATGAGGGCATGATCAGAGCAATGCCTAACACGGATTCGTTTCAACAACCCATCACTCAAATTGACTGCAGATATAAGAATCGCATCGATCTTGCTCTCAAATTCGGTAGACCACCAATGAGCTGACTCAGTATATGACTTAAAGTAAGGTTCAAGATCAAGCGAGTTGTTGATGAAAGGTGAGTCTTTGCAAGCTTCCAACCATGGCTTGCAGACGAGCAAAGCTCCCTTCCATCTGTCCTCTAATGGCAGGCGCGAGAAGATGTTGATTAAGCACTCGTGAATTAACCCGGCCCAGTCCGGGCTGTGGGTCAACTCGGTTGGGTTTTCTTCTATGTTCATTTTTTGACAGATTGAAGGTGTTTGAGCAAATGCTTTTTTTAATACGATGATGTGTCGATCGGTGTTTAAATTGAATTCGGATCATATCTATTTTGAATTATTCGTGTTAAATTATTGTGTTCATATATGTCGAAATTTGATTTTTATTTAATTATTTATTTATTTATTTATTTAATTTTATTTCAGGTCGGTCGGCTCAATTTTTTACACACATATAACTTGACTCCAACGGTTCCATGACTTCTATCTACATTTTTTTATTATTTTTTTTTATTTTTTATGTTACCAAGTTGAGTATTACGCAAAATACTTGTAGGAAACATCTTCCAAAGGGTTATAGCATAATAAATTTCGACTAATACAAACTTCCACCAGGTGTAGTGTATTGAGTCATAGGTTTCAATTGACTAATTTGTTCAAAAGGTTATGTGGATCATGGATTCATAAGAGTCTATTTAGTTTACCTTATTTTCACTTATTTTAAATCTATGAGGTTCAGATAAGTTTTATTAAGAAGAAATAGGTTCTTATAAGAGGTTCCGAACTTCATTCAAATTACAACTAAATTAATCTTTTTAATAAGGTCTAATGAGTTCAGTATAATTCAATTAACTTTAGAAGATAAGTCAAAATCAGGTGAATGGAACAAACCCTTATTGCGTTCTACTATGTATACTTCTCAAGTTTTTTAATATCTGCATCAATTGACTATACACATTTGTCAATACACCATACACTACTTTAGTTATTAAGATCTTTAATTATGCTTTATTAAAAATTATAAACTAAATATTTATGAAAATATATATAGAAATTAACTCAACAAAAATTAAACTATTGAAATTTATCTATATAAATTAGTGAAAAAGTATGGTAAAAAATAGTATACGAACAGTACAAGAAGTCGATCATTAGATGTAAATATTGAGAAACGGATATGGTAAGTTTTAAACCTCTTTTCGTTTTTTTAATTGTTTTTACTTTCATACTTAGTTGGCGTTTGAGTCTTACGTGAAAATAGCATGTATGTGCAACCGTTGCATACTTTCTCAACTAAAATTATCTTAGTTTTTAGATTGTGATCGGCTTGTATAACCACGTGACATAATTGTTATGGCTTTGCTATCCTCTCAGAGGAAATTACAAGCAATTTTGTTCATTCACTTCATATACTTGTATAATAATTTGGAAAAATAAGAGAGAATTGAAAATTATATTTAGTGTCGTCCAAAACTCCAAATGTACACAAAGTTTTAAATTTGATGAACAATTAATACATATACGAAGTACATCACAAACTCACCAAGAAATTAAAACCAAACTAATAAAGATCCATGAAAGTTGAAACAAAGTACATTAATAATGTCTGCGTCCAATTTAGTCCAATTGGGTCTAGGCATTAAATGATCCAATTAAAAGCCCAAGGCCAAGGTTCAACTCTCCAATTGTGCTAAAGTCAAAGATCAGCCCTCAAGGCAAGCCAATTGGGCAAAGGCCCAACTTCTCCATGTATGAAGAGGTATAAAAGCCATCAATATCACATTGATTAAGAGATTCATAATATCACATTCATTCATATCTTCGGATATACTCTCATATATTCTCATAACTCAAGAAAAGCCTGAAGCAACTAATTCTCTTGCATAGTGTTCTCTTTCTACACATTGTACTGACTTTAGCATCGGAGGGGCCTTCCTCGGCAACACCCCCGAGGCTAGTTTACGTGTGTTTACTGTGCAGGAAACCTTCGGCCCAACATTACTTGGACCGAATCCAGTCTTCTCCATTTCAGCGGACCTTCGGCAAGGTCCCATTGTTTTCACCCGAAACAATTTGGCGCCGTCTGTGGGGAAGACTTTCAAAAATCTTTAAGCCAAATTTCTAACCAAGATCATCTTGCAATAATCTTAGTAGCAATGGCTAAGAACCGCAAGAGCAAAGGCCTCCGTCAAGGAGCGGGCGAAAAGCCTAAAACCCCTACACCATCACCCTCGCCGGACCGGAACTCTCCCAAGGGTGCCAGCTCGGGGAGAGGATCATACAAGGAGGATTCCCTTTCTCCCGTAATTCATGACTCTCATCATAGGCCGAGTCACTCTCGGTCTAGCAGGGGTGAGTCCGATCATAGGACACATTCAGTGCCCCAAAGCCAACCATCGGTTGTGCGCCCTCATTCCCATACTCGGCCGAGGACCCCTTTGACGGGGCCCAGCTCGGAAGAGGTGGCAAGAGCGCTGGCAGTACTCATGGAGGCGATGAGGGCACAAAATATGCCACCACCTCGTGATCGAACTCCTCCGCATACCCGGCATCAGCGGAGAAGTTAGACCATGATGGTGGGAAGCTTCCTTCCTTCCGGGAACTGGAAGAGTGGGAAGAGGATACCTGGAAGAATGAAAAAGAGAGGAAAAAGAACCCTCAATTTTTAAAAGGATCCTCATCCTCACGACCAGAAACGCATAAGAGCAGCAGCTCAGCTTCTCGGCCAGAATCTACTCACCGAGAACCTGAGACTGTTCGCCGAAGCGTCCTCGACCGACTCGGCGGCAAGGAACCGAGTGTGCGCAGTCGCCTCTCGTTCCCTGCAGCCGAGGCCCAGACTTCCCAGCCAGGGACGAAAACCACTCCTACCTCTCTAAGAGGGCGGAGCGCGGTCCCTTCGGCCAGGAACAAGGGCAAGGCCGTTATGCTACCCGCCAGTTCACCATTCGAGCAATGGATACTGGAAGAGCGCGTGCCCACGGTTAAAATACCGTCGCACATCACATATGACGGGACCTCGGATCCGAAGGATCACGTGGCCTCGTATGAGACTCATATGCATCTTTGCCCCAGATCCGAAGCGACTTGGTGCAAATATTTCCCAACCACTCTCAAGGGGGTCGCGCAAGCGTGGATCTCCAAGGGAGTAAAGCAAGGCTCCATAACAGGGTGGGATGATCTGTCCTCCAAATTTAGGAGCAAGTTTTCCACGGCAAACCGCCGAGAGAAGACTACTGCAGAACTCATGAGTCTGCAACAGGGGGAAACTGAAAGCCTCCGAGACTATCTGACCCGTTTCAGTAACGAGTCATCCAGCGTCTCTCAGCTGGACCAGGGGCTAGCCGTTTTTGCGATGTAGAATGGCCTTCAGCCCGGAAAGTTCCTAGACTTCATGGTCATGCATACCCCGCAGACCTTGGAGGAAGCTCTGAATGCCTCAGATAAGTTCATCCGAGCCGAAGAATGGAACAAAGCGAAAACCCAACCTCAATTTGGGGGAGGAAAACAAAGAAAAATACCCTTGTCTGAAGGCCAAGGCCATAAGGCAAAGGGAAAGTCAAAGGCCTCGGAGCAATCTTCGGCCAGCGACCCAAAGAAGGAAAGATCTGCCTCATACACAGGCATATACGAGTCCTACACTCCGCTCTCTCTTCCACGCGCCAAAATTTACAGCGTGACGAAGGAGGAGCAGAGTTACCGAAAGCCGAGACCACTCCCAGAGTGGTATCAGCGAAAAAATAAAAATCAGTGGTGCGAGTTCCACGAGTCTTCGGGACACAACACTGAGGAGTGTATCCAACTGAAGGATCAGATAGAGGACATGGTCCGGAAGGGATACTTGAAAAAATACATCGCAGATCACCGCGAGAAAAAAGAATCCGAGAAGTCAGCAAAGGACTCTCGGCAAGACCTTGACTTCCCCCGGAAAAACAGTAAAAAGCCGGAGGGGAAATTCCCTCCGATCAATGTTATCTCGGGAGGAATATACTCTCGGAGGGAGCACAAGCGACACCTTAGAGCTTTGACTCACCAGGTGAACAACGCTGACATTCAATCTCCCCAGTCGCCGGTGCCGAACATGACGTTCACAGCCGCCGACTGCCGGGGGATTACGTTCCCTCACGAGGATCCGTTGGTGATCATCGCCACGGTGGCCAACCACGACGTCAGTAAGGTCCTTGTTGACGGTGGCAGCGGAGCAAACATTCTGTTTCGAAAGGCCTACAATCAAATCAAGCTGAAGCCCAAGCACCTTACGCCGGTACCCTACCCGGTATCCGGGTTCAACGGGGCTTCAACTTATCCAGATGGGAAGGTGACGCTTCCTATCACCATCGGTTGCGATGAGGCAGCCAGGAACGTCATGATTGAATTTTTGGTCATTGACGCTCCTTCAGTGTACAACGTGATTTTGGGGAGACCCATAATTCATGAGATCCAAGGGGTCGTCTCAACTTATCATCAGCTGATGATTTACGTCTCAGACGCCGGCTTCCCCGAAAGGATACAGGGCAACCAAAAGGACGCCCGAAGGTGCAACTACCTCAAGCCATCCAGTAGTCGCCCAGATGACGACAAGGATGAGGAGGAGAAAGAAAAAGAAAGAGAGCCAAGCACAAAAAAGCCGAAAGGCCTAAGTGCTTCGGCCCAAGGATCTGTACCCAGAGGTAAAGGGCCCGAAAGGGAAAAGGCTAGCTCTTCAGCTGAGCCGCAAGACTCAGAGAGCCAGCCGAAGAACAAAAAGACTGGGACACCTGCTGACATTGGCAGCAGGCCAGATTATGAAGAGTCCAGTCCATCAGCAATGGACATGGACCAACAGACTGAAACAGTTGAGTTGGCCGAAGGAGACGTTGAGAAATGTGTAACAATCGGGATGGACCTTGATCCGAACACCCGTTGTGAACTTATTCAGCTCCTTCGGGACAACAGAGATGTGTTTGCTTTCTCGACAGCTGATATGCCCGGGATAAGTTCAGACCTCATCTCCCATAAGCTTAATGTTGACCCAACGTGTCGACCATTTAAGCAAAAGAAGCGGAATTACTCCGCTAATAAGAACCGAGACATCGCAGCCGAGGTCAAAAAATTGCTGGAGGCAGGATTCATCGAACCTTGCCAATATCCAGAATGGCTGGCAAATGTGGTGATGGTTCAGAAGCCCAATGGTACCTGGAGGATGTGCGTTGACTTCACGGACCTAAATAAGGCTTGTCCGAAGGATTTCTATCCCTTGCCGAGGATCGATCAGCTAGTCGATTCGACAAGTGGCCATGCCTTGCTTAGTTTCATGGACGCATTCTCGGGGTATCATCAGATCTTCATGCACCCCGACGATTGAGCAAAGACATCATTCGTCACGAACGTTGGGGTGTACAATTACAAAATGATGCCCTTCGGATTGAAAAATGCGGGGGCAACCTATCAAAGGCTGGTGGATCAAGTTTTTGCCGATCAAAAGGGCCGAAACATGGAAGTCTATGTTGACGATTCGATCGTCAAAAGCAAAAAACCTGAGGACCATGTAAAGGACCTGGCTGAAACTTTCGCCACCTTGAGAAAGCATCAAATGAAGCTGAATCCGAAGAAGTGTGTCTTCGGCGTGAAGTCAGGGAAAT